TGTAATAATAGTTGGAAAATGATTGAACAAGCATATTAAATTAGTTTCCAAGAAACATTGCAAAAGTGAAAGTTATTATTTATTCTGTTCTTTTCTCTTCGTAAATAAAATATATTTTTAAAATAAAATTAAGAGCTGCAAACATATAATTATCAGAATATAAAAGCTTATATTCATCCAAAAAATCGCGATTAATCAAAAGATAGTTTATTGTATGTTTGAGGATCTTAATTTTTATTTAGTATAATACGATGTTATTTGAATCATTGAAATTAAGCCTGTTGAATTTCAGTCGTGATAAAATATGTATTTATTTTTTCTGTTTAAAATTTTTTAAACTAATTATTAAAAGTGACCTATTAAGAAAGGTAAATGATAAGAGGACAGATAAAATGATGAAATAATATTTTATCATTTTTTGATGTTTAATTGTTCCTCATTTTTTAAATTCACAATTTCAGGGTCTTATTGAAATTTTTTTTGGTGCACGTGTAACAGTATCCGGTATTAAAATAGACCATAGTGAACCAGCATTGATTATAATGAACCATCGGACATGTTTAGATTGGCTATTTTTTTGGATTGCTTTAATTCGAATAGATCCTTGGCTTTTAACATCACAAAAAATATCTTTAAAGGTTTGTTTGCAATAAATAATTTGATTTTAGCACTTCAAAGCATTCTGTGTGTTTTAATCGAAGGTATTGTTATTATTAATGGATTTAAAATGTACTGGCATTATTTTTCCTTATCATAATGATTTTTATAATCGTTTTTCAATAATGTTTTAGTATTAGAGCTCTATTCTGTCCAATTTTGAAATATGGCAAGCGATAATTTTATCATAAATTTTGCTGCTAAATATGTTTAGATTGCAATTGAGACTATGATTATTAAATATCAAAATTAGCAAGCAAAAATTGTTGTAATTGTTTTACAACAGGCAATAGTGAGGCATTTACCTGGAGCTGGTTGGGCTATGGCTTTGAATGCTTATATGTTTTTAACACGACGTTTTGAAAATGATCTAGCACATATTGAGAAAATGATCGATTATTACGCAAATTCAAGGCATACATATCAGGTAAGCAGCTAATTTGATTCATACAAGAAGTGAAGTAAATTGTTAGTATTATTCGTTGTTCTACCATTCTTTAATAATATTCCACTTAGTTACTGTAGCTAATGTTAGTCGTTGTCAGTAAAGAGAATAGTTAATAATGCATTAGTTTTTACATCCATTTATATCAGTATCATAATATATCAATTATCATTATGTTTCATACTTGTAGTTGCTTCTTTTCCCTGAAGGAACTGATAAAGATTACCGAGCAACTGAAAGAAGTCGACAGTTTGCATTAAAACAGGGTTTAGTCCACTATAGCTATGTGCTTCATCCTCGGACGACGGGATTTACAGTAATTTTGAGAAAAATGCGACAAGGTTAATTACAGTTAGATGAAATCATTAATTTTGAAATAAATTAGCATTGAATAGTTTTTTTTTCGGTTCGATCTTAATTTGTTCCATAAATTTGTTTTGCTGGATCGAAAGACTGAATTTTCTGTTAATTGATGAAAGATTGAATTTTCTGTTAATTTTCTGTTAAAATCAGTCAATTAATTTTTTCCAGTTTCATCAAAATGCTACTAACATTTCAGTGGGTTACATAAGGAATATATATGATGTGACAGTTGCTTATGCGGATGCAATCGTACAGTCCGAATTCGAACTATTTTCCAATGGTTCCTGCCCGAAGAATATTCATTTTCATGTGAGTAAAGTCGATGTCGATAGTTTACCCGAAAATGATGATGAATTAATTGCACTTTGGCTTACGAATCGTTGGAAGGCAAAAGAGGGAAAACTTGCGCAATTTTATCATTCTGATGACGCTAAGCATCGAGCTTTTAAAACTGATTCAAATTATGATGAAATTTTTGAAGTAAGCTTTTATTAATTATCATCTTGATGGCATATGTTTCTGATTAAAGCGCTTGTTTATCAATTGAAATTTTAATGTTAGGAGTTTATATGCTTAAAATTTAATGCTATGAATATGTTTGAAATTTCAGTATCATATTGTATGCATAAAATAGGAATTAGAAGTGAGCAGTTTTTTTTTTGATCAGTTTTTTTTGTCAAATGCTTTTGAATTTAAAAAAGAAACAAACTATTCGAATCTTTGTAAACTTGTATAAAAATAAAATAATAATATTATTTTGCAGCTAACAAAAATCAAATTTATTGCGGTTTACGGAGCTGTGGTTATATTCTGGGTGTTTACATCAGTATTCTTAATGTATGCATTCCTTTGCTATCATTTACAATATTTATTAGCAGTATTGACAATTACTATCTTTCTTGGTTCTCAATTTTTGCTTGGTGGCTTCGAACATGTTGTGATGCAAGCAGTTAAACGCTCTCCGCAATGTGCTACTGGGTAGGTTAATTGTTAATTTTAGTTTTTTCTCGTAAATATATCTCTTTAAAAGGTACTGTTCATTTTTCAATATTACTATATTTGCAGGTATGAAAAAAGAGAACAAAAACGGATAGCATTATCGTCAGGTTTTTCAAGATTATCTTCATCCGAAGAATTGCTCAAGAAATAATTTTCAATTTTGGTTAACTACCTATCTTGATTTGTAAATCTATTTACAATTTTGGATTATCATCGATTCTTTATTGATATCTTGATAATTTTTTTGTTCCAGAAGGAAGGCACAATATGAAGAAGCAAACAATTCGTATAAAAAAAATGATTATGCTTAAATTAGAAAAATATAAATCCTTATTTGTGGAGAAATTATTAATGTAATGGGTGCAAAGTACAAGAAAATGATTTGTGTCTTCGATGATACGGTTATATATGAACATATGCAAAATTAGATATAATTTTAATGTTTATTAAATTTAAGATTATTAATGTAGTAGATTTTATGTAATTCCAGATGTAAATTTCAAATTATTTCTTCTATCTACTCGACTCTTTCACTTAATAATAGAGAAAGCATTTAAAGATTTAATTTCCATTTTTTTTTTTTAATTTTTACTTTTACATCAATTATGATGTGTTTTTTTTTTCTTTACCTTATTACTGACCTCCTCATCAAATTATTCATAAATTCTTTATGATATTTCCTTTATGCATATTTTTACATTTGTATTTATATGTCATGCATTTTAGTTTTATTATTGTGTATTTTTCTCTTTTTTCTTGTAATTTGTTCAAGAAAAAGAAAAAATGATTTCATTGTTAGTCAAATTTGGATAATGTGTGTGAGAACCTATCAAATATATGACAATAATTTTATTTGCCATAAAATAATGCTACAATTTGATAATTCCAAAATAACATTTTCATAATTCCAAAATAACTTTGATAATTCCAAAATAACATTTTCAATGCTTTGGAGGCGAAAATGAAGCTGACATGCACAAATACCGAATGGATTTCATTTTGAAACCGAAAAAAAAAGTTCAGAAAATGATCACTTCTGCATCTAATGAATACCGCATTCGCGGCATTAGTTTTTAAATCGGTTCTTTTATTCAATCATTGGTCAGGTCATTTTTCATAAAACTTGAGTCCAGGTTATCTTGACATTTACGTGTTAACAAGACGGGACAGTATTAGCTTCTGTTCGCTTAGAAATGTAGCAAATTTGTTTATTGAATTATTTTCCAAATGTAAAATAATTCAATAAACAAACTGAAATTAGAAATCGAGCATATTTACTGTCTTCTGCATGAATAATCCTTTCATTTTTACAATATTTCAAACAAAAATATTTCTATGAGATCAAAATTAATAATATATGAGGTATGCAAATAAAATAACTTACCGTATGAATTATTTTTAGTTTGCAATATTTTCGGAAGTATAACAAAAAAATCGCAAAATTGAAAATAATCAGTTGTGATGTGATAAGAATAAATGAATGACTGTAATTATCTTCTTTGCGACAAAGTAATACAGCCGTTAACAGTGTGTTGCTAATAATACCGTAAAGCAAGAAAATGATAAAAAGTATCATTGCTATGTATTTTGCAATTTTGTTATTCTCATCTCTTATATCGTGCTCATTTGTTGTGTTTTTTTTTTCTAATAGGACAAAGGTCATATCAGAAATAATACAATAATATAGTAAGAATGAGTAAGCATTTTTTGTTTTGCTGACAATCATTAAATGAAAATTCAGCTGACTGGAATATAAACTGCAAAGAACTGCGAATTAGAAATCGGAATTAAATAATGCAATGAATGGGATGATAAAAGAGTGCGTTAATATATTTAAAAAGTGTATTGCTAAACTGATCGTGAAATGAAATTTCTCTTTCTTATATAATTCACGCATATAAAATGCTAATAATATCAGCTTTGTTATGATTGCTTTCATCCTTAGGGATATCAAAATATTCCTCAAAAATTCTTATTAATTTTCAAAAATTCCTATTATATGGTATTATGTTAATTTTATGGAATTACTCATAAATGTGTAATAAGCAAATAAATATGCATATATCTCCCATACGGTTGTTTAGTTTATTTATTTTTGCTATAAAATTTTGCATGAATTTTTTTTGAATCTAAGCACTGGTTCAAAAAATAATTTAAAATTGATTAAATGAAAATCACAAAATGATAGCTACAGCTATGCATTACATTTATTAATCAAAATAAAAAAAAAATCAGAATTTTCCGGTGCAATATTTTTTGAGAAATTTTGTTTACTGGTTATGAAGTTTGAAATGAAATAATTTTAACTTCTTTGTCAGTGAATTTAGTTTGGTAGCAGAATGCTATCAAAGTCAAATGGAACAGAAAAACTTTTTTTAGTTCCTTTTTATTCAATTTTGAACAAATTCATGTTTCAAATCACAAAAAATGCAATGTTTTCGTAAAAAAAAAAAAAAAAATCATCACAGATCAGGAAAACGTGCTCATTAAATATAATTTAGAAGATGTAATGCTAACCAAAAATTTGTGTCACTAATTTAAGCCAATTCATTTTTCATTTTCTTCGAAGTTGCAATTAGATTTAAAATAATTATTTATTTATTATTTTAGGATACGTTATTATTCAGCACTAATCATATCCAATGCAATGTTTGTTATGTATATTGTGATATTCTGCAGCATTCATGTCAAAGTACTTCTATAAAATTGCTTTTTTTTTCTTGCATAATATGGCTAACAAGTAAGAAAGTTTATTGATTATTTTCAGACTTTACAGTTAGTTTTGAAATATTACTACGAAATTTGCCAAATTTTAAAATGTCCTCTTCAATTTAACTTATTCATGGCTCAATTAATAAATATGTTAAAAATTATGAAGACCAGAAATGAAACGAATGGTATGAATATTTATTCTTATGAGTGGTCGATACTAATAATTCATTTTTATCCTCATTGTTCAGGATTCGAATCAAATAATCAAAATAATTAATAATCAGGGTAATTGATAACCAAAGTAATTAGTAATCAAAATAATAATATAATACTTGTCATTATTATTGGTCGATGCTTCATTTTTATCTCCATTTTTCAGGATTCAAACCAAATAATCAAAAAAAAAAATTAATAATCGCAATAATAAATAATAATTCATTAATCAAGAACGAAGGTCAAAGGTTCGAAGGAGATCAGATACCACTCTAATTCTGTCCGTAAACGATACCAACTAGCGTTCTGTTGGCGGTAAATATGTCTTGACGAGCAGCTTCCCGGAAGCGAAAGTTTTTTGGTTCCGGAGGAAGTATTAGGTTGCAAAGCTGAAACTTAAAGAAATTGACGGAAGGGCATCATCGGAACTGAAGCCTGCGGCTTAATTTGACTCAACACGAAAAAACTCACTTGGTCCGAACATGAGAGCTCTTTCATGATTCGATGGTTGGTGGTGCATTGCCGTTCTTAGTTGATGGAGTGATCTGCCTGGTTTGATTCCGATAATGAGCGAGACCAGACAAAATTATTCAGTAACTAGGCTAGAAATAGTTACTGAATAATTTTGTTTGTTCAGACAACTTCTTAGAGTGAACAAGCGATGTTTAGTAGCATGAAATTGAGCAATAGCAGCTCTCTGATGGTCTTAGATGTCCAACGCGCTACACGCACGTTACACTGCAGGAATCAGCGGCGTACTGTAACCATTTTCCGAAAAGGTAACTGGTAACCTCTTGAAAATCCTCCGTGATTGGGATCGAGAATTGCAATTATTTCCCTTGAACAAGGAATTCCTAGTAAGTATGAGTTATCAGCTCACGTTAATTACGTCCCTGTCCTTTGTACACACCGCCCATCGCTGTCCGGGACTGAGCCGTTTCGAGAAAAGCGGAGTCTAATCCGTTCTGATCACCTTTCAGGGTGGAGCTTCTTTGATGGAAATCGTTGTAATCGTAGTAACTTGAGCCAAGCAGAAGTTGTAACAAGATTTCTGTAGGTGAACATAATGTTTCCGTAAGTGAAAGGTCTCCGTAAGTGAACAAGGTTTCCGTAGGGTGAACCTATGCGGAAAGATCATTATCGAGCTTCATTTCATATACCGCACTACTTGACACGCTAAAATAGTCAGTGGTAGCTCTACATTATTCAAGCTATCACCTAATCAACCGTCCATAGCGATGAAGATAAAGTGATAGCTTAATTAATTTTATCGTAATGTTAATTAAGTAGACTTAATAAGCACTTGAGCTAAATGTGCTACCAACAAATAAAAAAACGGTGCACTGATTTCAATTTTTTTTTTTTTTACATCATTAATATAATATACTCTTAGCAATGGATCACTTGGCTCGTGGATCGATGAAGAACGCAACCAGCTGTGATAAATATTGCAAATTGCAGTTGCATGGAGCACGAAGATTTCGAATGCATACATTGTACCATCGGATTGATTCCCGATGGTACGTTTGATTAAGGATCAATGAAAGTAAACAAGTAAGTATTATTTTATTCGTCGGATGATGATTTGATGTGTTATCATTACATCCCCTGATAAGTAAGTGAGAAAAAAAAACAGTATACTACTAGCATATATTATTCTTTACTTATTCGGGTAAAATGAGAATTGAAGCATTATGTATGTTTCGAGATTCTTGATTTAAGTTAAATTACGCGGTGATTTAACGATTTACATCAAAGACAGTGTCAGGCGGGTAGTTAGACTGGAACGGTACATCTGTCAAAATTTGTAACGCAGATGTCCTAAGGCTAACACAGAGAGGACGGAAACCTTTCGTAGAATAAAAAGACAAAAACTTGCTTAATCTTGATTTCCAGTACGACTACAGACCACGAAAGCATGGCCTATCGATCTTTTTTGAATTTCATAGAAGGTTTCTAGCAAGAGGTGTCAGAAAAGTTACCACAGGCCAGGGATAACTGGCTCACTTATGGCAACTAAGCGTCTATAGCGATATTGCTTTTTGATCCTTCAATGTCTGCTCTTCCTATCATTGTGAAGCAGAATTCGCCAAGCGTTGAATTGTTTACCCATCAATGGGAACTAACCTGTTTCACGCTTCACGACGACGTGACCGTCGTGAAACAGGTTAGTTTTATGGCTCAGTACGAGAGGAACCGCAGGTTCAGACATTTGGTTCATGTGCTTGGTCGATCGGCCAAATGGTGCGAAGCTACCATCTGAGGGATTATGACTGAACGCCTCTAAGTCGGAATCAGAATCCCACTCAGACAAGACAACGATAAATTTGCTCCCCTATATATATATATATATATGGTTCATTTTCTTAAATTCTAAAAAAAATTCATACCTATTAACTAAACATTATGTATATATATATGTATAGAGAGAGAGAGAGAGAGAGAGAGAGAGAAAGAGAGGGAGATATGTTATGCGTTTTTTTCCCTGTTCTCTCTCTCTCCCTCTCTCTCTCTCTTTTTTTATACCTTTTAAAAAGATCTTCTGATCGATGAAAAAGGGATAGATGGCTGAAAAAGGAAATGAACAAAAATAACGGCTTTCGTCACTCTCAGTGAACACGGTAAGTGTATATAGAAAGACAGACGTGTACGTTTCAATTACGTGTACGTCAGCATACCTG